AACAGCCATCTTTCTTGCAGCCGTTGCCTATCGAAGCAATAATTCGCCCTTTCAAAGGAAGTGCACATATAATAGGGCATTAATGATAAATAAAGTAAAGAAAACAGAGAGCGGCCTCTAGATATCATGGGGTGATATTTTTAGGGCTATTATAGCTGTGTTCGGGACAATCTGATTTAAAAATCCGCACAGGCAAGAAGAATTAAGATATTTAAAAAGGTAAAAAATAATGCAGGGTGGTGTCTTCAGGCGGATTAGAGCGTAAATTAGGACGATTTGTTCTCTTAACCAGCGCATGCAGCAATATGAGCGATTTTTTAGTCACAGAGAAGAGTATAAATTCGAGGACTGCGCAAGGGGTAGCCAAGCGCGTAGCAAAAATAGTGTATTACTGAAAATGCGAATAATTTTATGGTGAATATGCTGTTCTTCAAAAACGGTAATATCAGATGCCCCAGGTGAAATACCCACTTATGTCACTTGTATATATTTGCAGAATACATCTGTATGAAGTAAAGAACTAAGTCACTCGTACTGCACTAAAAAAGCTTACTATGCAGGCTTCATCATGGGCAATGCACAATTTCAAATAAGACCGGGAGGATATGGTAAAGGGACATAAATCCCTCTCTAACAGGAGACGCCAGCTTGGTTTCTGGCGCGGTAAAGACCACCTTGATGAGGGTATAGCAGTCTCTGATCTCTCGTTAGTAATCCTTCTAGTGATATGGTGCGACATTCGTGGATCCTAAAATGCTTAGAGATGGTTGGAACGCCAAGAGTATCATCGTCATCGCAGTCACTTGGTTCGACTGAGACCGTTCTAGGGTTCAGCATGGTTTGATAAGTCTCCTCCAGGTAGGTCTGTCGTTGGCCTTCTCCTGCCACCGAGATCGATGTCTCTCCATTTCATGTTTCTCTTTGCAACATCTTTGAACCTTGATCTAGGCCTCCCTTGATTACGCATTCCCAAGCAGAGTTGAAATTATAACAGCTGCCTTGGAAGTCTGTTAATATCTATCCTATGCACGTGACCCAGCCATCAGAGATTTTTCGCTATAAGAATATCAGTCATTGAAATTAGTCCTGTAAGGCAGAGATTTTTCACATTCGCGATCTTGTCCTTCCATGGTACGTTCATTATTACTCTTAGCGGTGCCATCATACAAGCATGGAGCTTCTTCACTTGACTCTGATATATGGCCCATGTTTCAGCACCATACAGGAGGGAAGAAAAGACAACTGTTACACCTTGATTGACCTTGCAATTGACTTCAATAGACACATGCCAGCCTTTCCATAGCCTGTCCGGTAGTTTTCCAAAAGCAGCACTTGCATTTCCCATCCCGTGTCTGAACTATCATTGTTGGAGACAGGGTCTCTTGATTGATAGTTAATGGTTTTGGCTCAGGAGCTAGATCTAGGTTTTGCATTGGTCGGTATAAGCACTCAGTTTTATTAATGTTGGTCTCAGAAAAAATTGTGAGGTAGGTCTGGTGAACCTGTCCACCAGACTCTGAATGTCACCAGGACTGTGGGCGACTACAGCAAACATCATTTCCCTCACTAGGGTCTAGGTTGTGCGTGTTTTTGCTCTGAAAAGGGCTAAGTTAACAGGTCAGTATCAAAGCGATTCTGGATGAAGATACCGTCCCCAACATCGTCAAAGGCTACTTCTAGCATTATTGCTGATAGGTAGAGAGAGAACAGTGTCGGAGGGAGCACGCAGCCTTGCTTTTCACCATTGGTGATGGCAAATTTCTTGGAGATGTAGTTTCCTTGATCCACATGTGCTTGCATTTCGTTGTGCAGTGCCCTCAAAAGATTGATAAATTAACAGCAGTACATCCATACTTTCCGAGCACGGTATCAAAAGCCATTGTGAAGTGGGTAAAACAGCGTACAGCGGTATGTTATGCTTTTTACACTTCTCTTCTAACTGTGGCAAACAGAGGATCGATCATATCCAGCTATATCCACAGTGCCTCTACCACTGCAAATACCACATCGAGTCTCAGGCAAGATATCGGGAGTTATTTGTTCGTTCAATGTTTTGAGGAGTATGTGATCGAATCAAGATCTTTTTGGCCGAGAGACGAGAAATACCTCGATAGCTCCCTCAGTCTTTCTACTTCCCTTCTTGAAGACTGGCCCGATAATGGCATCTTCCCATTCCTCTGGTATTTCGTCAGCCATTTTCCCAGACTAGTGCAAAACTCAGTTTGTATAGGCTAGAGGCGAGTTTCACAGCCACAATGTTTCCAGATTTCAGCAGGTATACCACACCTTCCAAGGGCTTTACCTTCTTTTGTTGCATTGATGGCATCCAACAGTTCCTTCCTTTCAGGATTTTCATCAACAAGAGTAATGTTTGGCCTCTGTGCAATGATGTCCAAGGCAGAGCCGTCAACCTCTCCTGTCATGTTAAGTAACCGGTCAAATTGGTTCGCAAATCTATCGAGAGTCTAAGCTTTCTCCTGTATTTCTGTCTCTCCATCAAGGACAGTAATTAGTTCGCTTTGTTGACCCCTAGCTCTTCTGTGGCCCATATACTTCTCTCAAGCCATTTTAAAAGGCTTTCATGTCGTTTTTATTTGCTGCCTGCCTGAATTCTTAAGCCTCCCACCATTGAGACTTTATTTCCCTGATTTACTGCTGTAGATTCCGTCGAACACCAGTCAGTTCTGCCCTGTTTGGTCTATTGTTCAGCCGAAGCTGTTTCACCCTTGCATTATTTCCGTCATCCAAACAGATCCTCCACCTTCTTGTTACTGTCTTCGAACCAATCCTGGTGTTTCCGACCGAGTTTACCTAAGACAGTCAGGGCGGTGTCATATGTAGTAGCTCTTAAAGAATTCCAGTTTTCTTCAGTCTCTGACTAGAGATGTTGAGATCCTGCCAAAGCCTCGTCCATTTCCTTTTTCAACTTTCGCTGGTTTTATCTCGTAGTTTCATTACATCAATCTTACATCAGAGTGGTTTGTCAGCAGTTATGGAGTGGTTTATTTCCTGATGGAGAAGGAAACAGTGGATCTTAACAAAACATGGTGAGTTGAACAGTCAGCGCCTCCCATGGTTCTTGTCAGTTCAAGATGTCATTTTGGTCTACCTTCCCTCCTATTGCAAGATCTAAAAGGTGCCAATGTTTATAGCGGGGATGCAAAGCGGTCAAGAGTATGACCCCTTTATTAGCAACAGCATGGTGAAATAGAAAGACAGTTTTGGGGGAAAAAAATACCGGATGAAAAGTCTCTGAAGGAGACTCTTTATCATCCTTGCTGTATTTAATAGTCATGTTGCTACTCCCAATAGTGTTACGAAAGATGAGAGCTGCAGGATATAAACTGGAGAAGGCATGAAACTCGTCAACCATCTATTGTTCATGGAAGATTGGGAGTTGTCTGGAGCCTACACAGACCAACTTGCCACTTAATCAAGTGGTAAAGATTTTGTCAGAAACAGTCAAATATGTACTTTAGGTCTTGGAATTGAGGAGAGAAATGATGGACAGCAGGGGAACAGACCCACTAGATCATGTGACAGCTTTTCACACTGTCTTTTCATTCACTCCATCTCTACGCAGACGAGATTGTCCTGATTGTAGAGTGAGCACGCACAGGTGTTGTGTTCCAAACAATACTTAATTATTGCTGATTTTCACCTTCAAGCTATTGAAAGTAAAAAACAAAAGCGTCCTATAACCCAGCATTTGCGAAATGAAAATGGAGGTAAATATACAAAGACACTCCCTAAGATTTCTCAACTGTGAGATGTTCAGAGAAATGCTTTACCTGAATAGGCCTCTTTAGTACGTACGTTGTATGTTTTTATTTGCCAATGCAATTTATGTGACAACAAGAGAACAGTTTCTTTCTTTTTTTGACCCCCCCGCCGATGTTAATACACAGATCGAGAAATGTTAAGACGGACTCCATCAGGGAATTGAGTAATTTTAGGTTTAATTGGACAAAAACCTTGTACCAGAATAAATTATGCTATATCAAATTATTTTTTACATTTTGCAAGGGAGGGCTATAGGTGTAATTAATTATCTGTAATAACACCAGACGGGAGAAAATTGGTGTAGAACTCACAGGAATTGTGCAAACACTAGTAAAATTTCATGCGTAAGATTTCATTCAATTACCTAATGGATTCCGTTTTAATATCTTATTTGTCATTAGCTAAAAATATTCAGTGTTAATTTTAATTAACACTGAAAGGATATCAATAGAATATGATTAAATCTAAAAATGAGAAAAAAATATGCCAATTGTCTTCAAAGACACAGAGTTCAAGACTATTTTGTTTATTAGGATATGTGCTTCAGTAACGACCCGTGAATCTACGTGCAAAATAATAAATAAGAGCTGTTAGTATGTTATTAAGACTAAGACGCAAATAATCGTGTCTCCTTACACTTGCTCTTGAAAAATTTCGTCAAATACCCGAAGGGCACATGTGAAAGGACTTCATATCCTCCACGAATTATTATAAATGTTAATTCATTGAGCTGAGAACTAAGAACAATCAAATGTCCTCTATACAACATTACTAATTGAAGCTAACATCAAACTTCGCTAGAGATCAACGGGACTCGTATTTTTGTGATTTTACCTGCTGGTCAGATCAAAAGGTATTTTCGACAGAGAAATAATAATAAGACTATTTTTTTCGATACCTTAAACATACCTTTCAACCGTGTGGAAGCTGTTTCGCATTTTTAATTTGGATAATAATAATAATGAGTTCATTTATCACTAACTGTTCATACTTCGTACTAAATCTATTTACAAATCATGCTACAAAAATCTATTAACAAAATCTGTTTACAATAAATACTCTAGAAATGACGAATTATTCATCATTAGCTAATTAAAATTCTAACATTACAAATTGATGAAATAAGGTAAACAACTTTTAAGGGTAGGCTTTCTTGAAGCGATACGTTTTTAGTTGAAGTCGGTAGCCAATATAACAGGAGCTAGCGCCAAAAGGACATGCCTACTTCAACATACATCACCCTCGTGGTCATCTTCTCAGTGCAAGCAATCATTATCATCGCTGGAAACACGTTCACAATCTTTGTATTCTGGACTCAGAGATCCCGCCTAAAACGAACTTATTTTCTTTTGATTAACCTCGCAGTCGCCGATTTACTTGTGGGGATTACAGAACTTATAGTCATAGGAACTTTAAAATCTCATGATCTAGGCAAGGGCATTTTACTGCTGAACCGATCAAACTTCTCAGCGGCTTTTACATTTTTCTTTTCGAGCACGTCCGTCTACTTTCTAGCGCTTATCTCCATGGAACGTGCTTTCGCCGTCTTACGGCCAATCCGTCATCGCATCACAAATCGTCGAGTTTACATCTATAGCATCGTTATCGTTTGGGCCATTGCTCTTGTCTTTTTTGGTCTTATCATGTTATCCCTTTATTATCCAGAGGTAAATGGGGAATATGTTTTTGTCACTGGTAGGACATCGCTTCTTATTTCCATCTTGATAATTTGTACAAGTTACCTTAGCATACGCGCTCGATTGCGCGCACCCTCACCCGCCGTGATAGACAATCATAAGCATCGATCAAGGAAGCACAATTTACGGCTTTCAAAAACACTTTATATTGCAATTGCTTCATCGCTTGTGTTTTGGATGCCTGCCTATATTGTCTTCTCAACGATAGGATTCTGTCCTGGATGCTGTTCTGTGCCAGTGGTTATTTGGCTCGTGGAAGCTTTATATCTGGCAAATTCTATGGTGAATCCTCTCGTCTACAGTTTCAGAATGAAAATTTTCAAAGACGCATTTAACAAATTCCAGAGAAAAAGACGACAGAACATAAGACCAATTCAGCAAAATAATTTGGGCTTTGGTCTAGAAGGTTCATTTACTCCAACACTTTCGATTACAATGATTTGAGCAGCCTAAAGTAGAGTAATAACGCTGACTGTATATTATAATTGATTAAGTATTAAAAGAGGTGTTGACTTAGTTGACGCGGAGAAAAAGACGACAGAACACAGGACCAGCTCAGCAAAATAGTCGGAGATTTCGCCGGGAAGGGACTTCACTCCAACACTTTCGAGCTGCCTGAAGTAGAAAAATATTGAAAGCCCAGATTGTATAGCATAATTATTAAGTAAAAGCCTTTATTTATGCAGTCAACAACTGTGAAAGCTTACGCTAAATGCACAGATCATCCTGCTAAAATGTACAAATACGCAAGTGATTTTTGTAAGCTCCAGCACCAACATGGTTGTAAAAAAAATGATATTTTTATATTATGTTTTGTTCATTCCTAAATTAATCATCCCGTCGTCACCACTTAATGGCTTGAGTAACCCATATAGATCACAGGCTGTCAGATTGTGAATCATTTGAAGGAGCTGAAATTGTTGAGGATACGATTTCTGACATTAAACTTGTTAAACTTGAAAAATGCTCCTTTTTGAATAGCCTCAAACTCATTTGACATATCTGATATTCACTCTATGACGGTCATGACGCGAGTTAAATATAATATCCTATGCTGTGTTAAAGGAGCTGTGTCACGAAATTCAGCCAATTTAGGAAATTACAAAATGCCCGTTAAATTAAGAGAAACATAAAAATAACCGCTTAAAACTTTAAAGGAAGGTTAAAATAGCATAACAGAAACAACAGATGCCACGGATGGGCAAAACTGAAGAAGATTAAAACGGATTGAAATTAGGGTTTTTGAAAACTGTTCAGCCTACCAGTTTTTCAAAGTTGATCCCTGCTGCTTGCAACTTCAAAAATAATGCTCAGGAGGCACATTTGTTTGTCTCGGATCTCTCATTTTGTCGTTTACATGTAATGTCTTTGCTTACTTTAAGTTCCATAGCGATTGAGGGCGAGTAATTGGCAAAATTAAACAAAATGAACTGGACTGCCGTGACACAGCCCCTTTAAATTTCAGCGCTGTTAACTTTTTTAAAAGTTTCTTTAAAAAGAAAGTATTGGTATAATATGCAATGTTTTTATTCATGCAGTGCGTCTTAAACATGATCTAAGAATAGCTCATGGTTATCTCATGTATGTTAATAAGAAAAGTTCAGTCTTACATTTTTCCCAAGTCTAAGCAGTAATCAACTATAAAAAAGATCTTTGTGATATTTGTCGCATTTAAATGAATATTAACTTTTACAAATCATTAATCACTTGTAATATTTCAGATAATATATTTATGCCACTCTTTTCTCAGAAGAGGATCTGCGATAAATTTTAATTTGCAATAAGCTCCCGGGCTGATGATACTCATTAGCCAAGCACTAGTGACATGATATACGGTTTCACAGTAAGAGAACGGATGTAAAAACGCTCAGTGCGTTTATAGGAACACAGAGATTCCCATAAACCTTAAGGAATATTTCACCATTTATCATTTTAAAATTTACCACTTGTCAAAACAAAAATAATATATGAACGGGAAAAGCTACTCCCACATGATTTTCCCTTATTCGACACCCTCTCAAAGATTAAAAACATGGAAAATGGCATTTTTTTAATCAACACCGAAAAATTGTAATTATTTACCATTGATAGGAGAAAAAATATAAATCTTTCCATGGGTAGATTTTTAATGAGCCAAAAAATAATCTTACGGTACAGAAATCAAGTTTAGATTTTGTTTTTAAGTTCATCGTACTTTAATTACATATCTAATATGCGTTTTTGAATCACTCGTCTTTTTTATATTACCAATACTAGATAACCCCGATGTCCAAAAAACTGATAACCGAAGTATAGTTACGATCTTTGCACTATAGATGCGAATAAATAATCGTGTTTATTGACACGAGATATATGTTAAAAAGAAAGATGTTATGAAACTTGGGCCTTTAAATCGACGTTGTATCCTCTCTGTTTCTTTTCGGCCAACAGAGATTAACACAGGTCAAATAGCAATTATTGGATTCGGCTTTCATTTAGTGCTATGAAGAATTAAAAAGATTGAGGAGAGAGGTTATCGGGCGTGATCTTCTAGTCCGACATCAACTAAACATGCCAGTTACCTTCATCTTTGTACAGATCCCATCTTCAATGCCTCACTCCTCTGCACTCTAAGGTTATGAAGGGAGAATATTCATTCTAGCATAGAATGAATAATAATACTCATTTAAGCTTACTGAGCTCCACTAACTCGGTGTTTGAACGAAACTTTGTTTATTTTAATCATTTCTACAAAGAAATTATTTGCATGGCGAGATAGTTTTTCCAGAGCGCATAAATATTATTCAACAGCGTGGGAGCTGTCCATGCAGTAAGTCAGTTTAAGTAAAAATAATAATAATAAATAATAATAATAGATGAGATAAATCGTTTATTAAAAAAAGAAACACCTCGCAGTCCGAAGACTGAATTACGTGTATAATATACAAGTTATAGTTAAAATGGATTTAAAAAACTATAATAATAAAAATGTACAAATCTAACAAAAACATTTCACTTAGGATAACCTTGTGTTAGGAAAATATACATACTTAAACAAATTTATTTACATTCTTAGGCTATGGCTAACAATAAAGATTTTTTAAGACGATCAGTCTTGCACACTGGCACGTTAAACTTTCTATTGCTGCGCAATAAAAACACACACACATATACTGCAAGCAAATCAAATGGTCAACATGTTTTACTTAAAAATCAATTTTTGTAAGCTTAAGAAATGAATATTGATTTTTTTGACTAATTATTTTGTCAACCGCATTAGCAAAACATAACATGTGTGACATACCTTGTTATTAAAGACTTGATAGCAGAGCTCCACCCGCGTGCGAAGCGCGCGCGTGGGCAGAGCCCCATAGCTAAAGAAATGTGGTAATCTACCCATCCCAGAAAATTTGGTAATCACGTGACCGTACACCGAGCGACCGTCCGTCCGCACCACAGGCATAACAGTGTAAAATAACTCAATCAACAGGTATGGGAACCCAAATGCAACTCAAGGTTTTATTTGGAAGGAAATCACATGGCCGCCCGGACTTTTAGAAAGAAAAAAGTCGTGTCTTTTTTGGCCTTATTTTTTATGTGTACACTAACGTGGATAACAGAGAAAGAGCTAGAGCGAGTTATTGAAAATTCGTTGGAAGAAAAACATGGAAATTCAAAGCAGCGGTGAGAAAATGAGAAATGCTAGCGGCCAGCAAGGTGAAAATTAGCGGAAAAATAAAAGCGAACATGAACACTGGAAACAAAATATTGGGTAAGCACATACGACAATTTCTCCAGAAAAATAGTGTGTAACTAGGAAGTTTCACGTTTTAGTCGTACAAAACAGTGTTGTAGTCATGCAAAACAACGGCAAGGGAAAGACAAAAAAGCGTGCTGCACGTGCAAATTTGCTTTTTGCTAATTATAAGAAAAACTGTGCTGCACGTGCAATTTGTTGTTTTGCTAATTAGATCTATTAGTCTTGAAGCCATTTTCATTGTCGTCCCCCGTTTAGCGTTACACGATTTAATTTTTTTTGTTTACCCGTATTATTAACCAGAGCTTCGCTTTCAGCCCTGGCTAAATCAATATATTACTCAGAGCATTTGGCATGGGCTTTGCAAATAAGTAATTTTTTAAGGCTGATAATTAACAAAAGCGAAATATAAGTGTTGCAGTGACAACCACAATTTGGATTCCCTGAAATAACTTAGATGAGATGACTCCTGATTCAGTTGCCTTCCTGACAATCACACTTTTCAAATAACACTTAAAGTTAGTTACAAACAACGAAATGTATGTAAAATTAACGCTGAAAGAACATGAGCAGAATATGTCGATTAAATCTATGCACTAATATGCACAAAAGGAGTGTTGAGTAAGACACGTTTTTTTTTTTTTTATGAGATGCCAATTTCATTTTTGAATTTTCTTATCTGTTGCTTTCTAATTACTGAACCGTTTTCATTTTCGTTAATTAAAAATGACAACCCGAAGAAATCTTTTATCATACTAGATGCAAAGCGCGTCTATTTATATACACTGCTGCTAAGAAAACGTCGTAAAAAGCGCTTAGGACATAAATGGGCGGACGGACGCCAGTTTATCTTCAATATTATCAAGACATATGTTTTTTTGATAATTATATAGTCATTTCGTTAACAACTCAGTCAGCTTCAAGCATCATGTACCTTGGACTCGCTGAGCTTTACAAAGATCACCTGTCCTGACTGTTGAAAGAGAAAAGTGACTATCGTGGAATAATTGTTACACCAGTTATTGCTAGGGTTTTTGAGAAAGTCGTCTTCAATGCGCATGCGCGTGAATTAGTAGAGGAGAACTTGACTGCCTCGCAGTTTGCTTACAGCGAAGGCGGCAGCTGTACGGACGCGCTCATCGCCATACAACTTGCGGTCAATCAGTACCTTGACGATCCACAGTGTACAGCCGTTCGACTCTATGCGATGGACTTCAGTAAGGCTTTTGACTCTGTAAAACATGACTTGTTATCTGTCAAACTTAAGCAGTTAGGTTTGAGTCCTTACATTACCAATTGGTATCTGAGTTTTTTAGAGGGTAGGAAGCAAAGACTGTTATATGATGGATTTGTCGGGCAATGGAAAGATGTTAATAAGGGTACCACGCAAGGAAGCGTGAGCGGCCCCCATTTGTTTACCATTTTCCTTAATGATCTAGAAATAAGTTTGAATGGTAAAGACATTCTGTTTAAGTATGCTGATGATACTAGTATTGTTTCGCCCGTGTGGAAAGAACAGGATAACTCAGTGGATATAGTAAGAACGTTTATGGAATGGTCAGAGAAGAACTGTATGTCTAGTAATACCAAAAAATGCAAGGAGCTAGTTATCAGAAAGAAAAGCTGTACGAATGTGTTT